GGAAGCGGCTGCCATCGGGCTCTCCCGGGAGCGGGAGAGGGCCCTGGATTACTACGGGCTCTATGACGAGCGCGGCCGCCCTTACAGTTACCCCATCGTGGCTGAGGAAGACCTGATGCCAGAGGATGATCAGAGAGCGACCCGCAACCTCTTCATCGGCAACCTGGACCACAACGTCTCAGAGGTGGAGCTGAGGCGTGCCTTTGAGAAGTACGGCATCATCGAAGAAGTGGTGATCAAGCGCCCTGCCCGCGGCCAAGGTGGGGCTTACGCTTTCCTCAAGTTCCAGAACTTGGACATGGCGCATCGGGCCAAGGTCGCCATGTCAGGCCGCGTTGTCGGCAGGAACCCTATCAAAATTGGCTACGGGAAAGCCAACCCTACTACCAGGCTGTGGGTGGGTGGTCTTGGTCCAAGTACTTCCTTGGCTGCCCTGGCGAGGGAGTTCGACCGTTTCGGCAGCATCAGGACTATTGACTACGTGAAGGGAGACAGCTTCGCTTATATCCAGTACGAAAGCTTGGATGCTGCCCAGGCTGCCTGTGCGCAGATGAGGGGCTTTCCTTTGGGCGGACCTGAGAGGCGACTCCGAGTGGATTTTGCCAAAGCAGAAGAGACGAGATACCCGCAGCAGTACCAGCCTGCACCGCTCCCCGTGCACTACGAACTGCTAGCGGATGGGTACAGCAGACACAGAAGCCTAGAGCAAGACTTGAGGGTGCGAGATAGGACTCCTCCGCATCTCCTGTACTCGGACAGAGACAGGAGCTTTGCAGAGGCAGAGTGGGCCAGCCCTGCCAAAACCGCTGAACGCAGAAACAACTTGGAAAGCTACAGCCGATCAGTGCGTAGCCGGAGCGGAGAGCGCTGGGGCAGCGACAGCGATCGCAGCGTGCCCAAACTGTGGGAAGAGAGGCGGAAACGCCGGAGTCTTTCCAGTGACCGTGGGAGGACTACTCACTCACCTTACGAGGACAGAAGCAGGACAAAGGCCAGTGGGCCAGCTTTAGACCGCAGCCCAGAGAGGGCTCGCAAGGAGAATCACACTACAGAATCCGGAGCCGAGAAAGAGCAGAGTAACTCCCTTCAGAACAATCGTCATGCGACTGAGGAGAAACCCCATCGTGAGGCATCCGATGCTCCCCAGCCTAAAAAAAGGGACAGCGAACGCAATCATCGAACTGGTGAATCGGAATCAAAAACTCACGAGGAGCCAAAATCTGAGACCAAAAAGCTAAAGAATTTGTCGGAATATGCTCAGACACTGCAGCTTGCTTGGAACGGGCTTCTTGTGCTAAAAAACAGCTGCTTCCCCACCTCTATGCACATCCTGGAGGGAGACCTCGGTGTCATCAACGGACTCCTTAAAGACCATTCGTCCGGCGGGAAGTTAACGCAGCTCAAAATTGCTCAGAGACTTCGGCTCGACCAGCCCAAGCTGGATGAAGTAACTCGCCGTATCAAACAAGGCAGCCCCAATGGCTACGCTGTGCTCCTGGCCACCCAATCCACCCCGGCAGGGGCAGGGGCTGAGGGGACCTTCCCTGTTGTAGAGCCTGGCTTGCAGAGACGGCTTCTCAGGAATCTGGTCTCCTACTTGAAACAGAAGCAGGCTGCTGGGGTTATCAGCCTGCCCGTGGGAGGGGCGAAGGGCAGAGACAGCACAGGCATGCTTTACGCGTTTCCTCCTTGTGAATTCTCTCAGCAGTACCTCCAGTCAGCACTAAGGACATTGGGAAAGTTAGAAGAAGAACATATGGTGATAGTTATAGTCAAAGACACTGCCTAGCCCACACTGTCTTTTCAAATTCCATGTTTTCTTTGTGTGTCACACAACCCAGTTGTTTTTAAGGCTGATCATTTTGGTGGAGGCTCAAAACACCTCGGCCAAAGTGGTAAGATTTTTAGTTTCTAATTAATTTTAATACCATTTAAATAGAGCCCATTTTATTCGTTTTTAATATGTGACACTGTCCGCTGTTGTTCTGTATTTTTATTTTTTAACTGTATGAAAAGTTGTCAGTAAAGCCTTGTTCACTGATGGATTTCTAAACTTGTGCGGTATCCTAGTTCTTACGGCCCAGGAAGGGCTGGTTCCCTGTGCTGTCGAGAGCTGGAAGGTGATGGTCCCAACCCGTTTCAGTTTCTCAGGCCCCAGTCTCTTGCACCTCCTCCGTCTCTTTATACGTATCCTGCAAGGTGGGAGGGGGAAGGGGGAGTTCTTCTTTGTGCTGTATGAGAGACTGAAAGGTTGGTTCTGTATCTTTTTTTTCTTTTTTTTTTTTTTTCTGTCCTGTTTGCTTTTTATTTCGTAAATTTGAGTCTGGATGCTATTGAGTCTCTGTTTGAGGATAGGTGCTTCCCAGGAAGCCAGCTACCAAGGAGGCAAATCCTGATCAAGAATAGAAATGTTTTTTATACACACACAAAAAAACCCCAAAAACAGTTGGCGAAGAGTTTGCTACTAAGGAGCCAACTCTGTAGTCAATTCTGTGAGTTCTGCGAGCACCCGCTACATGTGTCAGTCAGATACAAGTTCCAAAAATGAGGCTTGATATTCCTGGTTTTCATAGAAGAAAAAAAAAAAAACAAGCAGGAGGAAAAAAAAAAAAAAGTAATTTAAGGGGGAACCCTCTTGGGCCTGTATTAGATGTAGACAAGCAAATACAGGGCACAAAGGTTTTGGTGAACTGTAGGTGCCTGTTTGCACAGTCGATCATGTTGCACTATCTGAAATCCTTTATTGAAAGACAAACGGCAAAGTTTTTTTGCCTAAAGCTGAATCTCGTTTGCAGGCTTACAAAAAAAAAAAAAAAAGATAAATACGTCTGGCTGTCCAAAAATGTTATGTTACCACAAGTAACCTATGACTGTAGAAAACTCTGGAGATCAAAATTTGAGGTTTAAGATGGGATGGTTCCATCACCTTTTCTATCTGTGGTATGAGACAGCTGTTGAGGAGAGAAGCCAGGACATCTACACCTCTGATGGCTCAGTAATGTGGTACCTAGTTCAGATTTGAGTTAAAATCCACACTGTTCAGTTTGGGGATATTTTTATTTTTTAAAATGATGCCTGTAGATTTTAGGAGGCTTACAGAGAATTGTGTGGGATTAAAAACACTACATTTTAAAGTTTCTTTGAATTTGCAGGTTGTTTTTTGTTGTTGTTCTTG